GATTGCTTTTTTAGTATGATTGCATTCAGAGATGGATATACATTCGATTTCATCGAAGGTCAGTCTATTTAATCCTGATTAGCCTGTAGTGCCGTAACTGTAAAAATGCCACAGCTTAGTCATAGTAAAATCTACAGCCTGGAGGGATAAATGAAATCGTGGGGAAAACGAAGATAAGAAAAAAACCCCGTACTTAATTTCACTCTCAGTGTAAGTGGATGAGGTTAAGAGGGAAAAGTGAGGTAGACTCTGAGCGGTAGGCTTCTTCTTGGAATTTTCTTAAAATCAAATCAAAATTCGTTGGTTTGTAGGAACATTTAATGAACTGGTAGAGGCAATGATGGTGTGAAAAGATACATTCTGAAATGCTGATTCGTTTTGTTTCCATAAGCTTGGAGGTGCTAAATATGTTAAAATACTTCTTGTCAATCAAATTAGATATAATACTTGTGTACTGGAGAAGCTGGGAAGCTTCTGTGGCGATAGGTAACGTGACTTTTTGCTTAAGATCCAGAGTTTCACTCTGTTAGATAACCAGTCCCTCTGTGATTCGTTCGTTCGTTTTGATGGTAAATTAGTACTGGCACATTTCAAAGACCCATCCCTTCAGCTTGTTTTTCTTAGAAACCGTTAAAAAGCGGAACCACAGGGCAAATCACTTCATTACTATCCAGTGCCCCTTTCTCAAGTGAAGAGTGAAATCTAAGAGGTATGAGAGATTACGATCAACTTGCTTCCTGGCTAAACAAAGCCGTAATTCGGAGCTGTGTTAATTATGACTGTATATGAGGGGCCTAATAAGGTATAATTGATACTTTAAACCTAATTGGTAGTTTCAGGAAGCTAATGGGACATAATTTCAAATTTGATAAAATTAGCTATGCTTAATTCAGCTGAATATGGATGCATTAATTTTGCAGGAGAAATGCTCGAAAAAAGTCCTTTTACATTTTGGGATTTTTTGCAACAGCGAAAACGATGGCTACAAGGCATCTACTTGACTGTACACGCTAAGCAGATCCCTGCAAAGAACAAAGTAAGTGCCATTTCTGATGCTAGAAAATGATTTCTTATTTTTTCCCCGAATAATTTAACGACTTCCTCAGTGAGGTGTTTCAAGACGAAATGTAGTGGTGCGCAAAAATCGTTTCGAAACAGCTGAACTCTTGATAGGTGCTTTTATCGCGTGAACCTTTGAGCTGGTAGTTCTCGCAGAAGAAAAACGAACATTCGGATGGCTAGTTGTGAGGGGCTGACCACCAGGCGATGCAGCATTGGTCAAAGCAAATGAGGAATTTACCGGCCGCACTGTTGAAAAGTCACTTTAGGAATTGTGGTCAGTCAGAACGTATGCTACTAATTAAAGATGGAACATTGGTTATAATACAATTAAGTCTGATAAATTAGAACACCAAACCCTCTGGACTGAGCACTCAGGTGTTTCCGGCATGCCACTCTTTATTACTCATTTTCACATCCGGACGCGACGTGCTATCCAACTGTACTACTTGCTGTTCTGCCTTAGACTCGGTCTGGGAGCACCTTTATTGTGTGTTTAATTTTTAAGGCAGAATGCACCTTTCTTTCTTCACTGCCTCTCTTAGGCAGTGTATTCTTTTGGTGTGACGGCAC